TAAAAATAAATTTAAGGGGGAAAAAAGTTACGCAGTATATGCATTTGTCTGTTCTTTACTCTGAAGTAATTCAATTTAAAATCATTAAGAAAACAAGAGTTTTTCATGAATATGTATCTAGGATGTATGTAGGTTTTCGCTTGAACTGGCCAAAACTCTATTCTATTGTATGTGAGAAATTTTTGGAATGTTTCCACATAAGAGTAACCCAAGAGAATGCAATGATCGAGAAAGAGAAAACCAATCTTTCATTTCGGGCTCTTTTTTTATTTTTAATTCTTTCTTTATATATTCTTCCATTTTTTTTATTATTATTATTTCTCAAGAAAATAAACAAAATTACAAGAGAAATATTTAATGCATTTACGTAATTATATAATAAAGTTTATTTATTTTAAATAAAAATTCTTTAAATAAAACGTTAGATGCGAATTGATAATTTTTCCTTTACTACATCGAATTAAAATTTCATTACTTTTTGAAAGTTTAAGAAAGGAAAGAAGAAAGAAAGGAAGGTTAAAAAAAATATAATAATACAAGCATTCTAAAGTCATCATTCGGTTAATTAATGATCTGATTTTCATAGTAAAACGTTAAGGTTGTTATTTTAACTTAGACCATCTGTTTTAAAACAACATCTGCTTTTATATACAAACTGCTCTCATAGTTGAAGAAACAAATTTTTACTCTTAAAATTTTCCATCAAATCCTAAAAGTTATTTCATGAATCTTAACAAAAATAAAACAAAATTACAAATCCTAAAAATTTGCATTTATTTCTAAAAATGAACCAATCGGTTTCTTAAGAATAAACTAAATCTTATATATATATTTTTTCTATATATACTTTATATATATATAAATTTTTATTTTTTTATTTTTTCTTTCCTTATTTGATCTCATCTTCTATTGAGAATAGACAATCAGAAAAGCAATTGAAAGAAAATGGCTCATTTTTGTTGTCCAATTTTTAAAACTTTGATTTTGGAAAATCGATTGAAAGAATAATTTTGCAAAAATTTATGATTCCTTTCTCCATTAGGTTATCGTTAGAGATCTAAAAACATTTTGGCAGAGTAACAATTATAAAAAATAAATTTAAGAAGGAAAAAAAAAACATATTTATAAAATGTGATCAGGTAAATTTAAAATTTCAAAAAATTATTTTTTTTTACTATTAAAATTGTATTCTTTCAATTACTTTTTCTAATGAAAATAAACAAAATTTCTTAACATTTGTATTTGTAACATTAAATTTTTTTATGTTTTTAAAATTAAAAAAAAAATCATTAATTGGAAAATTAAAGTAAATTTACAGTTAATAAATTAACTAAACTAAGTAAATTTTATGATTTCTTCCCTTCAAATATTCATATCTAATTAATTATACATATTTTTCTACATTTTATACGAGCTGAGATAATATCTTTAAATTTTTAAGTGGAATTAAAGTAATTTTAAATATTAATTCGAGTATAACGCGCAGCGCACTTTTAAAAATGCGTTTTTAACAGCGAAAAAATTAAATAATAATTAAATGTAAATATAGTTTAAAAGAATTTATTAAAGAATAAATAAAAAAATACTTTAAAGTAAAGTATAATTAAGGAAAAATTATAAAATAAGCAGGAAATACTTTAAAATTTTTATAAATTCGAGGTATTCTTTGTTACTTACTTTCGTAAAGATTTACAAAGAGTGACAAAGAATAACTGGAATTTAAGACGAAACACAATTTTAAATTCAAAGTAATACGGTAATAAATTTATAATATAAACTATAATTTATTACTTTTAAAAAAAATTGTAATTTTTCTATATTATACGCTTAAATCAGAGATTTTGGAACCTGATCGTACATGAACCCCCAAGAGGTCAATCTATTTATCTGTGGTAAGGATTTTTGGAGGATCGATGGACAAATTTCCTTTTATTATACTTAAAATAATAATAAAAATGAAAATAATTATCATAAATAATAATTTATTCATATTTTGTATTAGTAAAGAAGGGGGCCAGCGAATTAAATTTAGTTATAGTATAGGCCAATTCGAAAAGTTTGGAAATCTTCGCTCATTTTTAAGCCTTTTTTTTCTATATTAAAATGATATTTTAAAAAATTTCTTTCCGTTCATAATTCAGAAAGAAAAAAAATTTTTTTTTCTTAATTTTTATACAAATTCGCATTATTTTTACTTTGAAAATTTCGTGAAAAATTCTTTAATTTAGAAAATATGAGTTACAATTATTCATAGCTACATTCCTCAAACGTTTTAATTATAAACATAGTTATTTTTTCCCTCTATTCTGCACAAATTTAGTAAATATTTTATACGTATAAAAATAATAAAAATATATTTTAAAAATTTTTGGCAAAATAACAAGTAAAATAATAATATATTTTAAAAAATGATCAGTTAAGTTAACATCTTTAAAAAATATATATATAATTTTTTAATATTAAATTATCTCCTTTCAGAAAATTTCTTCATTGCTTATAAATTGTATAAAGAAAAATTTTTAATTTTTATAGAAATTTTAAGAGAATTTTTTTAAAATTTTATTTTATTTGTGAAAACCAATAACAATTGATTATTTTAAATGAATTAAGTAAATTTCAATTACTCCTCCTCCTCAAACATTCGTTTCTAATTAGTAATATACAAATTTTTCTGTTCCTGACACAAATCGAACAATTGTTTTTACACATTCGAACAGAAAAATAAATAAACCTTAAAAAAAATTTTTTTCTTTTTTGTCACAGTCACAATTAGAACGATCTGATAAAGTTTCTTCTCTCAAAAAAAATTCTTTAATATTAAATTAGTCTTTCAGTGAAGATAAACGAATTTCTTATACTATAAAGCTAAAAAGAAAGTTTTAATTTTTATTAAAATATTTGTAATTTTGTTTATTATTTTTTTTATACCTCGTGAAGAAAAAAAAATTTAATATATTTTTTTGATATATTTAAAGAAATAGAAAAAAATATATAAATATGACTTAATCTATAAATAAATTAAGCAAATTTTAATTTCTTTCTCCAAACATTCCATGTAATTAGTAAATATGTACAGTACATTTTCCCGTTCTTTACACGAATTGAATGAATGTTTTTACCCTTTTATCAATCAGAAAAATACAAATAATGAAAAATATCTGTTTATTTTTTTTTTTGAAAATATTATTACTTTTTTCCCCCTCTTGTTGTTTAAAGAAAATTCGTGTTCTGAATTTTTATAATTTCCGATAAATAGTTTCATCACGTATTTTCTGATTTTTGTAAATATCCTTTTTTTTTTCTTTTCTCTTCTCCTCCTTTTTTACACGATTAAATATAAGTTTTCAATACTTAAACTACTTTATTCGATTTTAATTTTACATTTATCCCCCCTTTACAAACAAAATTTTACTTTTATAACTTTTTGAATAGTTTCCATATATCAATTTTGTCAGATGTTTTTGATCGATTAAACAGTCACAATGTAAACGATCCAGCAATAAAGATATAAAAGAATTTTGTCAATATTTGATTTTTATAAAGAAAAATAACCAAAAATGTATTTTAAATAATTAAATTTTAATACTCTTTAAACAAAAAAAAAAGAAACATTACCAATTCCTATACATACATAGCTGTGCTGTACTTAAATAGATTTTCCTCTTAAGGATACGTATATTTAATATTTATTATAAGGTATTAATGGATAAAAATCGAAAAAAAAATATTATGTATAATTTAATATTAAAGTTTAAACTTTGTAATAATTTAATATAGAAATTGTCAGATGATAGATTTCCACAGCGATTCTAGAACCTTGAAACTACTAAAATTCGATTCTAGAAAGTTTAGGTAGACTATCAACAACTAACAACTTCCACTAATTAATTCACTGTAAATTGTCTAACATTTGTTTACCACTTAAATATGCTAAATCGGTACTAAGATAAGCATAAATTAAAATTTATTACAGAGTAAAATGTTTCGTATGCAAGAAAAGCCATTTAAAAAACTTTTATAGCTACAATATTTCCTCCTGGAGAAGAAAGAGAGAGAGAGAAAAAAAAAGTGTAATTTGTAACAAATTTAAAGAAGATAGTTTCAGAAATTCCAGAATTTAGAAAAATTTTTAATTCAATTTAAAAAAATAAATAATAAAGTTTTTCGCCTATTAAACTACAGAAATTTTATTAATTAATTAATAAAATTTGAAGTTTAAAGTATGTTTACCCATTTATATATACTAAATCTTTACTTATAAAAGCATAAATTAGAATTTATTACCTGATTTAGCGTTGTTTATGTGATAAAAATAAGAAACTATTTTATAGTTACTATGAAATTTTATATATANTTATCATTTTTTTATAATTTTAATTATAAATTAGCTACTGTTGTTTTAATTAAGTTGACGTAAAAAAAATATTAAATTCTCCAACAAATCCAAGTTATTGGTTATATCAGCTTATAAATAATTATATCTGGAACATGCTTGGGTGTTTTTTTCAAAGTCTTCTTTCTTTACAGATTCATGAATTATCAATTCATGCATCACTCATGATGCATGATGTGACATGAAAGTATTAATTTCGTTTCTAAATATATAAAAATGATTTATAAAGACAGCCGATATGAATTTATCTCATAATGCCATTTTTATTGATAATAAATCGATAATTAGTTAATGAATTATCTGCTGTGATTGTCATCATGGAGGAGGAGGAGGAGGAGGAAGAAAAAATAATAATAATAAAAGAATAAAACTAAAGGAAGAGGAAAGTGATTACGTAAACGAATCATAATTTATTAATTTAATTCGGTAGTTACTGACATACTCTATTAATAGAATAATAAGTTAATAATTAATAAAGTAATCAGTTTTAGGAAACGAAGAAAGAAAGAAAAAAATAATCGTAGTAAATGTAAATTTAATAGATAAAAGTATGCGGTTGTTAGAATAAATATTTAATAAATATATATCCCGGTGCAATAAGTTAAAGTAGAATAAAGGGAATTTTATCTGTTTCAGGCCTCTTTAATCGCGCCATTCTACAGAGTGGATCAGCATTGAGTTCTTGGGCCATAGCAAATGATGCCATTTCATACACTCATCACTTAGCCAATCGGTTAGCTTGTCCAACTAAAAACAATGTTCTTTTGGTAGAATGTATGAGGCAACGACCTCTTTCCGACATCATTCGAGCTCAACCTAAGCCCCCTATTCACGGACCAGTCTTTGGACCAACAGTAGACGGTATTGTTATTCCATCATCTCCATCTTTACTCATGGATAACTCCACTGATCTTTACGGACATTACGATATGCTTTTTGGCATAACCAGGACCGAATTCTATCACGATTTTTCAGCGGAAGAAGAAAAGTCGGGCATAGATCGAGATAGAAGGGATAGTTTTATTTTATCTTTACTTCGTACCCTTTATTCTTCACGTCTTCAAGAGATATTTCTCATAACAGTGAGTGAATATACGGACTGGACAAGACCCACGCAACATCCAGTCAATATGATGGAATCAACTGCTGATATTTTAGGGGATGCATTATTCGTGGCACCCATTGTTAGGGCAGGAATGTTTCATTCTACAGTCAGATCTCAGTCTTATCTCTACGTCTTTACATACCAGACAGAAAGTGGGGAATTTTCCCAAAGACTCGGATGCATTCACGGAGAAGAACTTCCATATGTCTTCGGTGTGCCTTTGGTTGGCACTCTAGCCCATTTTTCTGGCAATTATACTCGTTCTGAAATCTCTTTAGCCGAAGCGGTTATGACGTTTTGGACAAATTTTGTCAAAACTGGGTAAATACCATTATTACAATTTCAAATTTTCTGTTTGATAAATTTATAAAAATATATTTTCTATAAATAAAACATTTTATTTCAATTTTATTTAAGTTTCAAATATATTTATTCTCGAACATAAACCGCATCCGTAATGCAACCATACAAAATTTATATGTAAGATAAATATTAATATACCAGCCAAGTAAATTCGATTAATTAATATATATATATATATATATATATATATATTAATTTGGCTTAAANTTTTATTTAGTAGAAATATTTTACATTTTTATTATTAAAATAATATTTTAAAAATGTGAAGTATTTTAAATACAGAATTCTTATATATATTTTTTAATTTCATTCATTCTTTTCTCAGTAGAGAAGTATTCTTTATGCAAAACGAACAATGGTTTTGGTTAAACTACTTAAATAAATTATGCTAATTTTTCTATTCTTGTATTTATCAAATTAATTTTTCATGAAGTTTTACATAAGTAAACAAACATTGGACGAGAGAGAGGACCTAGTAAAAGAATGACCTAATTTACTAAAATAATGTCATTCTACGAATGAAAAATAACATTGAAAGAATTCTATATTAATAAGTAATTCTTTATCTGTCAGAGATCCAAATTCTCTACAGAATGAAGCAGAAAGTTCTCAAGTTCAGAAAGCGAAAGGAAGACTTGAGCGATCGACTTGGCCTCCTTATGAGCCACTACATCAAAAATATCTAACAATTGGTAAGTTTTTTTTTATTATTATATATAAGAAATGTTTTCGGAGACTAATGATCTCAGTTTCCTAATAGATATGTTATTAAAACTTAAGTGCAGAAAAGATACGTGAAAGCATGAAGAAATCCTTTTTACTTTTGCCTAATAAAAAATGAATAATGTATAAATTTGAATTTCCAATTTATTTCAAAAATATTTACCGAAAAATTGGATATTTTAATTAATATACTTTTTTTACTTTTCAAGTAAATAAATATGTATANATATTTTTAAAAAAATAAAATACCAGGTATGAAACCGAAAGTGAGAGATCATTACCACGCTCACAGGCTGTCATTTTGGAACCACTTATTTCCTAAATTGGATAGATTAGGTAAAACTGATTATCATCATCAAACGGGAGATGACCACGATGTTTATGATGTCATGTCGAGAAAATTCTTTCCTGCGACGTCACCATCGACAGTTTCAATGACAACTATTTGGTCTAAATATCCCATGAATACCGAAATCATTTCGGCAACGTCTCAAGATGACAGAAGTGATATTTTAACAAGAGGATCGGATTCTTTAACAAATAAAACAAGCCACGTAGATTATGCAGAATCGGTTGTTGTTTATTCAGAAAATTCTAGTTATTCAACAGCATTGAGTGTAACAATAGCTGTGGGATGTTCGCTCCTAATCCTCAATGTCTTAATATTTGCCGGTGTTTTTTATCAAAGAGATAAGACAAGAATGGATACCAAACTTCACACCATGAATTACGAGGTGAATTTTAGTTTAATTTAATATGTATGTGTAGTCGCGTGTGTGTTATCGATCATAGAAGAGATTTAATAAAAGTTCATTAAAATATTATCTAAAAAATATATATTTAAAAAAGAAAAAAAAAATATTAGTCGAATCTGTAGTTTGATTTGGCAAAGTAAAAGTATATCCATTTCTTTTTTTTTTATTATTTTTTAAATTCGCTAGGGATGAATAATTTAGCAATATCTTTTTGAAATTTTTCCCAGTAGGTAAAAGATAAAAGGTTTTGTTAATAATCTACAGAACTTTGCTTCCGGCAGAGAGTAGAGAAAATTAGAAAATGGCCGATTTCTTTCATTAATACTTTTCTTTTTCTTTCTTTCTGGTACATAAAAGATAATATACACGAGAAATATTATACATTATGTACGTATTATGATAGATGAAAAAGGCTGATGAGCATGATAAAAGATACCATGCATATCAGAAAACTGGTCAGTCATTGAGAGTTCCACCTCCTTCACCGGTTGCAGTTCTACCAGGATGTGAGATTACTACGTGTACAGGACAGAATGAGATTCTGCAGAAAACTGTTCTACAGGAAAAAATGCCAGAAGCTCAACCTCTGTTATCTCAAAAAGACAAAGTGCTATGGCAACCTAATCAGGAAATGAGGGTGTGAGTGCACGATTTGAAAAATTTATTCATTATAATTAATAAACCGCTATAGTAAATTCTTATTTAGAAAAAAAAAGTAATAAATAATAATCTTTACTACTTAATTTACTTTTAAAAAATTTTTTAATGAATAAAAATAATAAATTACATTTAAGATAATTTTACTTATTTTCTTTTCCTTAATAGTAAGTAAATTATAAAAGAATATTTACGTTTGCTTGCTTGCTTATTTTTTAGTTTAGAAAATAATTTTTGTGGTGTATAAATGATATACTATAATTCTCTTTCATTAAAAATGATTTTCCATTGAAGATTTTTTCGTTAAAAATGGTCAAAAGCTAAAAGACAGTAATTACTAAGAAGTTTTAGCCTGGGAAATTTATGAATATCTGCACTTTGTTCTGCGAATCTTTTGTTGAGAACACCTGGTACACGTAGCAAAGAACGCAGTCAGTCGCTACTGTTTTAACATTTACGGCTCTTTTATTATTATATACATTTTTTTTCTTCTTCTTCGTCTTTCTTTCTTTTTCCTTCTCTGAGACAAATCATGTGTTCTTGACAACCGCCATTCTGGCGTAAAAACGTGGTGCTGACATCTGCAGCTGTTTCACATTCTCCAAACTGCGTAATTTCCACAAAATTAGATATCATAAAATTACCTGACGCAACTTCCACAAGATGGCGTAGGTTCCCAGACAATCGCATGCATTGTCACGAAAACAACAATCGACTCACGAATGCAATCATTACAAGAAAAAAAAAAAGGCTTTTTCCTCAACAATTTTCGAATATTGGAAGGTTGCTTGTTTAAGTCGAAACTCTGTTTAGATTGCTGCTACCTTTTGCTACGAGCCGATAACATCTTCAAGCTTTTCTATACTCTTCTTATCGTTCGGTAACTATTCTTCACGAAAAGTTCTCTCACGATTAGTTTCCTTTATCAGAAAAGTTTACGACTCGAGACACAACGAAGTCTATGATTACTAAAGCAGTCAGAACCAGGTTTTCTACAGAATTATTGAAGTGACCATCTTCCTAGTGAATACAACTACTGGCCATGAAATTTTATATGATGGAAGGGAAACATTTTCAACAAAACATAGTTTGTTTTTTATTATATCATATATGATTTAAGTGCCGACATTACGGACGAACTTTTACCTTAACTCTTTAAAAAAAAAATAACTGATTTTTTCGATATCGTTAATCATTTCTTACATGTCTGGAAATTTCTTCATATAAACTATTTTTAGTCTCATAAATTCTTCGGTATATTTACTTCAACTGTTTATTTTCTTCTTGGTTATTGTCATTTCCATTAATTTCAAAACTGCAACCGATTTATATATAAAATGTTTATAATATAATGTAAATATTAATTAGTCTGTCAGCGTGCCAAGCTCTTAATTGCTCTGTACGTAAAGAAACAACGTGTAAACCATAAGAGGAAGTGGAGTGAATGTATACTTATAACATTAGCAAATGCTTAAACATAAATATATATCATACCACAGTAAATCAATACATTTTCAGATGATAAGCAAAGTTTACCATCTGTTTTATATAAAAACCAACATCTGTATAAAGTACAGAATAACATAGATGTCAATTTTGCTAACGTCAAACATAATGAAATGTGAAATATTAAATTATACTTTAAAGTATTCTACTACTTCTGTAAAACATATTTTAGAACATAGATCAATAGGTAGTTTCTTTCTTCTTTTTTTTTCTTCTCCTATCGTTATAGTTTCAAAAAATTCTTTTCTCCTTTCAAAAAATTCAATGACTTATAACTTAATTTATAAAATTCGTTTCAAATAATGTAATGCAGCGAAGCTTAAATTCAGAAAAATCAGTCGATTCGAGTAGAAACGAATAGTAAAATCCACACTAACATAAAAAAAAAGTAGTATAATTTTGCCTAAGGAAACACTTTACCTTTGCATGCCTTGGAGGGAAGAAATATTACAGTTACAAGTCGTAATCTTGTTTCTCTAACGGTTCTAATATTTGTCGACAATTAAGGATATTATATTATCGATTATTAAAATAACTTTAAAATACTTGTTATTTTAACCTTTAAGATTATTTTACATTTACTGAAATCAAATTTATTTCCATACATGCTGATATTTCTCATTCTGTCAGCTTGTTTTCATTAATCTCTTTCTTGTAGCTAACCTTGCTTCATACTCTCAGCAATGTTTGTTTGTGTTAGTTGAATCTCTATGAGATAATACATCATTCTTGAAACGATTTGTTTGTTCAGAAAATTTACTTATCCTCATAACTGTCTCTATTGAGAATTATAGAACTTATAAAAGAAATATGGTCTTATACAATTTAATTTATATCGTATATTTATTAAGAATTTTTTTTGTATATTTTTAAAAAAATAAAATACCAGGTATGAAACCGAAAGTGAGAGATCATTACCACGCTCACAGGCTGTCATTTTGGAACCACTTATTTCCTAAATTGGATAGATTAGGTAAAACTGATTATCATCATCAAACGGGAGATGACCACGATGTTTATGATGTCATGTCGAGAAAATTCTTTCCTGCGACGTCACCATCGACAGTTTCAATGACAACTATTTGGTCTAAATATCCCATGAATACCGAAATCATTTCGGCAACGTCTCAAGATGACAGAAGTGATATTTTAACAAGAGGATCGGATTCTTTAACAAATAAAACAAGCCACGTAGATTATGCAGAATCGGTTGTTGTTTATTCAGAAAATTCTAGTTATTCAACAGCATTGAGTGTAACAATAGCTGTGGGATGTTCGCTCCTAATCCTCAATGTCTTAATATTTGCCGGTGTTTTTTATCAAAGAGATAAGACAAGAATGGATACCAAACTTCACACCATGAATTACGAGGTGAATTTTAGTTTAATTTAATATGTATGTGTAGTCGCGTGTGTGTTATCGATCATAGAAGAGATTTAATAAAAGTTCATTAAAATATTATCTAAAAAATATATATTTAAAAAAGAAAAAAAAAATATTAGTCGAATCTGTAGTTTGATTTGGCAAAGTAAAAGTATATCCATTTCTTTTTTTTTTATTATTTTTTAAATTCGCTAGGGATGAATAATTTAGCAATANACTTGTATATATATATTTTTTTTTTTTTCACTTATTCTTTCTTTCCTAACTTTCCTTCATATTTAATTAAATATTCGTGTAAAATTATTATTATTTGCTTATTTTTTTAAATATCTTTCTTATTTTTATTTTATTTATTAAAATTTTATTATATTAAATATTGATTTTTCAACAGTTTTGTATTTAATACATCAAAAATAAAAGAAAAAAGTAATTAACAAAATTTATTAATTTTTTAAAAATTATTTTCACTTCTATTAACTAAAATAAACTCTATTAATTATTTTTCTTTTCCAATTTTAAATTCGATAGATTTTTAAAATATTAAATTAAATTAATTGTAACGTGCCAGAAACCATGTCCTAAAAATTAAATAGAAGCAAAGTATTATACAGAAATTGTTTTACAGCAGACTAACCAACTGATTAAGTCTGCAAAAGAAAACGGTTCATAGTAAAGAAAGAATTACCCTATTGTGATGTCATCTAGAGTATGTTACTGAACAGCGAGTCATTAACCCCGATGAGAAGATGGAACTTTGACATGGTAATGCCTCTTTGCAAAATTACATTGGGCAGAATGCTCAACAAAATTGTAAAAAGAAATTCATGTTATTGATATATTGCAAAAGAACTATCTTTTTTTTTATTCTTATTTTCTTATTTTTCTTGAGTATGTAAAAGTATGTTGTTCAATCTTAAAACTGTAAGTCAGATTTGATTCACTGCAATCTCTAAAGATTACTTAATGGAATTGCTACATTTAACTGTGATATGATTTCCCTGATGCAAAATAAATGGACAGAAAGAACTTTTATTTATTAAAACCACTATTACATTACTTTTAATGTATTTTTTATTTTAAATTTATATATTCTTAATTACATTTTCATTTATAAAAATTCATTTTTTTTTCTTCTATGTAATTTCTCTATTAGATAGGATATTAACCTGCTTGACACAAATCTTCTTCTCCTTTTCCTATTTTTATATATTTTTTAATATTTTAAATTGTTAGCCAAACTCGAAAATAGTGTACTTTTCCCTCCTCCTCCTCCTTTTACTTTCATTTTATCTGTCAATATAAACTAAATTTCTGATGTTTTCAACTCTGTTTATTTGCTTAGAAACTATAATTTTTAATGGATAAATTTCTTTTTAAATAAAATCTTATAATTTTAACTAACTTATGTTTAAGAGAATTATAAATTTTAAAAAAAAATTAATAAAATTTAACAGAAAAAAAATTTTAATTATTATTTCTTAAAGACTATTTAATTTGAAATTAAATTATAATTTGTATTAAATAAAATCGATATTTTAAAAATTAATTTTATAAAATTTCAATGCTTAAATTTAGAATACTTTTATCCATTTTTTTTAATTTATGATTTTTACATTTTAAAACATTTATAATCTTTTAATTATTATTTTTATGCAATACAATTTATTATTATTTAATTTAAAATTAAAAAAAAAAATTAAATTATTTTATTTTTTCGTTTCTTCTCCTTAAATGGCAAAGTAATAAAAGAATAAAATTGACTTTCTTTGTTCTTATGGGTTTAATTTGTAATGTTTTACAGTGGTTAACTAGTAAATGAGGAGTAAAGGTTATATAAAACTTTAATAAATGACTTTAACTCCCTTATTACAAATGACTCCAGATGGTGATAAATCATTTAAGAATTTTTCGCTTTTTCAGCACCATTTAAAAAAATAAAATAAAATAAAACTAGAAATCATTAAAAAGACTTCGTTATGAACTGAATGATTTTTACTACAGGGTTGCACTACCTCCTGGAGAGCATTGGACAGAAGATAGACCAGAAGACCAAGATGTTGTGTGGCTCTGACATCCTCTCTAAACTCTATGGGGAGTCCATCTGGACGAGATTGAGAAGTGTACTTGATACATTAAATTCGAAGAGTGGAAACAGAATAGTGTAGCAATACACATAGATTTGTATGAATATGAAAGTGTGATTACTTTTAAATCCTGTTTTAAATAGATTTTCTTTAAAAAAAAGAAAAGAAAAGAAACGAAAACCGAAAAGAAGAAGAGAAAAAATAATATTTGTATCTTTTAAAAATATGATTTTTGTTAGCAATATTTTCACTCCGAAGTCTGTTGTTGTTTACATTACAATTATTATTATTATTATTATTAATATAACAACAAGAATAAGAATAAGAATATAAATTACCAATAGAGTTAACTATACAAACCCCCCAAAAAAATTACAAAAAAAAAAATTAATAATTTGTTTCTAAAGCGAAGAACAGACTTCAATCTCGTATAATGTACAAAATTCGAACATTTTGTGCATTTTATGAAGTTAATAAAAATGGAAAAAGACGTGCGGTGAATTTTATTAATTTTTTAAAAAATCGTAAAATACAATTTTTATTATTTTATTTTCATTTTTTTTTTTTTACATTTTAGATCCAAATGTGATGAAAAGTTCATCGGAAATGCATCAACTGTAAAATCGGATAAGGAATCGATATTCGCGTTAATTAGAAAGATGATTTAATTACAATAATTATGTATCTTATCATTAAAAAAAGGGGGGAGGTTGATATTAAGTGATAAACAAAAGCAAAAATGTTTTATAAAGCATGAAGTGGGAAGTCTCAAGAGTGTTCATGCTTAAAATTGACAATTTAAAATATCCTCAAATCTTATTTAATTCTATTAAGATGGTTATTAAATTATCTTGATTTTTTAAAAAAATAATAATTATTATTAGAAATAATTGGTTATTGTTTGAAAAATTAATTTTAAAAAACAAATTTAAATAATGCTTTTAAAACTCGAAAAGTTTCAAGTTTTATCTAATTTATTCTAACTTTTTTTTTCTATTGAATTTATTCAAATAGAGAATATTCAATAAGAATTCGACTAGAAAAGAAGAATTTAGTAATAAAATAGAATTCAAAATGATTATTTTTAATATAATAAAAATTAAAAATAGAAATGTTAATAATAAAAATAAATATTGTTCTATTCAAATGCTTGATTTATTTTTATTTTCTATGTTTATTTTCGAGCTCTTTTATTTCTTATTTTTTTTTAAAGTTCTATAATTGTATTACACAGCAGCATAACTTTCTTTAGTGACAATCGTTTTGTATATTGGCACGAATTGCAAAACAGAAGTTCTCTATCTTGAAAGGAACCATCACCATAATCTTCTAAACTGATTGCTGAACACGGTATATTTTGACCAGAAAGTACCTTATGTTTCTATTATACAGAATGGTGGCAGAAAAGATGGTAGTATTTTGTAGCTGTGTGTGGAATGTGGATTCAATAAACTCCCCTCTAGAGATTTTTTGTGATCAATTTTCCTGAACATATTTTTCTTTCCTTTTTTTTCTCCCTTTAACCTTTAAGAAGTTTACGTTTTTTTCCTCTTTACATATAATAATTTATTTACTGGCTTTTCAAAATTTAACGAAACAAAGTCGAGTTCTTCCGAGGACCCAAAAGACATATAAAACTAGTAGAATAAGTTTGTAGGTGTGTTACGTACAAGTCGCTTTGAATTTACTCCATTCTCCTTCTTATTTCCTTCCTTTCTTTTTACTTTGATTTATGTATACTTTACGTGAAACCAAAAGTAGAGGAATTGCCAAATAACGTAGTGTATGATTCCGGCCATAATGCCAAAGAAACCCCCCAAAAAATTCAATTATAACACACTTTATGGATCAGAAACAGTAACAAAAGTCTAAGTGTGTTTACACGGGATCCAAGCCAAAAACACTATTGTTATTGTAAATTTTTAAGTTTAGGAAAAAAAATATATAAAATATATTTATATAATTTTATATAAGTTTATTCTTTCTTTCAAATTTTTGAAGGTGTTATCGATTTTTAAAATGGTATTAATATGTGCGCGCGGGTATATAATAAAGGATAATTGAGTAGTGTAGATTTATGTTTCTTATCCAAAAAATAAAAATTTAAGAAAACAGATTTTTAAATTGAGATTGAAAAATAAAATCCTTTCTTTTTTCATCGAAGAGAATTATTTCACAAAATTTCAAAAGGATTTTTAAGGGTATCAGCACTCAAATCTTACACGTGCCAAATTTATCTTAGATAAAAAGAAATACATTCTCTTCTTTTTTTTATACCCCAGAAAAATCTCTTTTATAAAAAAAAATCTACAAAGGATGATAATCCTTGATTATGTTACAAATCTTACTTACAAATTTTACATATTTAAACAGGAATTTACTTTAAACAAAGAGTATAGAAGATTCTTTAAACTTGTAAGTATTTTAATTTTCTAGTGAAGAATTTAATTACCGAATGGCGTCAAATTTCGGTAAATCCATTATAAACGTTTAACTGCTAATGAAAGACATTGATATAGTTATATATTAAGACTTTACATCTGTTTAAAATTTTTATCACCATAAAAAAAAAGTAAATTTTGGTAGATTAGAAAATTTTTTTTTATTATTAGGTCCTCCCTATAATCCACTTAATGTATAATTCATTCAAACTTATCATTAATGAGATTAAAAGCATGTTTCTTTTTAATCTTTAAACCGCAAATTTGATGAAAGATCTAATCTTCATCATTTTTTCATAAAAAAATTAATAATAAAAAAAATATATATATAAAAACTTATTTGAAAATTTACTCGTGTTAAAGAAGAACTGATTATATCGATTTTTTTCATCTTATTTTTTTATAAAAACATTCTTTTTTTATTTACTAAATAGTCGCTAAATAACAACAAGTCCTACTTTAAATTAAAATCAAGCATGTACTAAATTTTTTATCATTAAAATTCAATTTAAACATGATTCAATTAAAATTAATAATAATAATAATAATTAAAAAATAGATAGGTAAAGCCTATATTTTCTAATAAATGCAAAAAGAAAAGAAGGTAAAACGTACAGAAGCTTTCATTCCATCAAAAGAAAACTGAAAAATATTAAAAGAAAATAAACGATTTTTGTCAAAGTACAAGCAAAATAAGAAACTGGTATATCTCGTGAATGTATAAAATGTAAAAAAAATATATATAGATAAGTATAAAAATAAAAAAAATCGGGATAAAACTGTTGTTAGGTAGCTACACACCTTCAATACGAATCTGTCAAGTGGACATAAATAACCATTTTACTCACATCGGCGTCAAAACGGCAACCAAAAATGATTGACAAATACAAAAATGACTAGACAACTACTTCAAAACAAAAACAATATAACAAAATAGAAGTTATGTATTATATATATATATAGAAGCAGAGAGAGATGGAAAAAATAGGAAAAAAAAGAAGAAAACTCAAAACGAAATCTGTTAGAAAGACGTATTTCGCACTATTCTGCCATGATATCATAAATCAATTCTTTTTGGCTTCGGGTTTCAGCATTTCCTGGATGAGAAGCCTTTTCCACCTCCTGCGAGGCAACAGAAAGCATTCAGTGGTCGAATCTTTCTTCAAATCTTGTTTTCTACAGAATAGCTCCCAGTCACATGATCCTCTACAACAATAAACGGCATTCGAGTTAGAAAATATTCATTACTTTACTCTAGAATTTATTTTCTTTTTAATTACTTTTAACACAAATCAATATGGAAACGAGTGCTTAAAACACGCACTCGTTTCCTCAAGTAAAAAATAAATAAATAAATAAATGGAGGAAGATTCTGGCGTGACAAAAATTACTGATATAAAAATCATTTACTTCCCCGCATTTATTAGCATTATTATATAGAGAAGATTTAAGCGTATAATATATATATATTTTTTTAAAGGANTAATCTTCATCATTTTTTCATAAAAAAATTAATAATAAAAAAAATATATATATAAAAACTTATTTGAAAATTTACTCGTGTTAAAGAAGAACTGATTATATCGATTTTTTTCATCTTATTTTTTTATAAAAACATTCTTTTTTTATTTACTAAATAGTCGCTAAATAACAACAAGTCCTACTTTAAATTAAAATCAAGCATGTACTAAATTTTTTATCATTAAAATTCAATTTAAACATGATTCAATTAAAATTAATAATAATAATAATAATTAAAAAATAGATAGGTAAAGCCTATATTTTCTAATAAATGCAAAAAGAAAAGAAGGTAAAACGTACAGAAGCTTTCATTCCATCAAAAGAAAACTGAAAAATATTAAAAGAAAATAAACGATTTTTGTCAAAGTACAAGCAAAATAAGAAACTGGTATATCTCGTGAATGTATAAAATGTAAAAAAAATATATATAGATAAGTATAAAAATAAAAAAAATCGGGATAAAACTGTTGTTAGGTAGCTACACACCTTCAATACGAATCTGTCAAGTGGACATAAATAACCATTTTACTCACATCGGCGTCAAAACGGCAACCAAAAATGATTGACAAATACAAAAATGACTAGACAACTACTTCAAAACAAAAACAATATAACAAAATAGAAGTTATGTATTATATATATATATAGAAGCAGAGAGAGATGGAAAAAATAGGAAAAAAAAGAAGAAAACTCAAAACGAAATCTGTTAGAAAGACGTATTTCGCACTATTCTGCCATGATATCATAAATCAATTCTTTTTGGCTTCGGGTTTCAGCATTTCCTGGATGAGAAGCCTTTTCCACCTCCTGCGAGGCAACAGAAAGCATTCAGTGGTCGAATCTTTCTTCAAATCTTGTTTTCTACAGAATAGCTCCCAGTCACATGATCCTCTACAACAATAAACGGCATTCGAGTTAGAAAATATTCATTACTTTACTCTAGAATTTATTTTCTTTTTAATTACTTTTAACACAAATCAATATGGAAACGAGTGCTTAAAACACGCACTCGTTTCCTCAAGTAAAAAATAAATAAATAAATAAATGGAGGAAGATTCTGGCGTGACAAAAATTACTGATATAAAAATCATTTACTTCCCCGCATTTATTAGCATTATTATATAGAGAAGATTTAAGCGTATAATATATATATATTTTTTTAAAGGAACTTCTTTTTT